TATCCAAGAGTAATGGAAATATACGTCCATCCAAAAACTTGTACACAAGTGTTCATAGCAGCATTATTCATAATAGTCAAATGCAGAAACAACTCAAATCTCTATCAGTTGATGAGTGGATCCACAAAATGTAGTTTATTCATGTAATAGATATTATTCAGCCATAAGAAGGAATGAAGTGTTGATACATGCTACAACATGGATAAAGCCAGTCACAAAATACCACATTAAATGATACCATTTATATGAAATGTCCATAACAGGCAAATAAATAGAGACAGAAAGTAAATGAGTGGTCGCTTTAGATGATAGAGATGGGGGGAATAGTTGAGTGCTCACAGCCAAAAGGTTCTAGGTTTCTTTTTGAGGTGATGAACATGTGATTGTGGTGATGGTTGCTCAACACTGAATATACTAAAAACTGTTAAGTGTACGTTTTAAATGGGTGAATTACATAGCATGTGAATTATATCTCAATGAAGATATTAAAAAAAAAAGAGCAAATCCTGAAAATCAAAGTCCAATGGAACAAGTGAACCTAACTGTGTATCAGGTTCATGATATGACCACAGAGAAAAATTTCAGGTGATTCAAAAGTTGGTAATTTGACTCCATATTACTTATGAAATATTGCCTAAGAACAAAAAGAACTCAGAAAAAATTTTTAATTGTTTAAGTAATCATATTGTTAAAAATAAAATTGGCATTGTGTTTTGAAACTATTGTTTACTTAGTAGGATAAAGCAACTAAGCATTAATGTAAGGAACCAAGACTTTCAATTGAAGAAAAAAGAGCATACAAATATAAAATCAAGAAATAAGTGAAAATCTGTAATGTTACATTTGAATTGTATAAATGTATAAATACCAACAGATCCTAAGAAAGTCCAAGACTTTCTGCCAAGTCAAATCTAGGGCTACCTTTCCCTTCTGTTTTTCAATGAGGAAGGCCCCTCACCCTATGAGAGATCTCTGTTTTTGCAGTTCACAAAGTTAGTGGAGTCTTGTTTGCATAGAGTATTTTTAACTTTTCAAAGAGCTTTTACCATCATTAAGTTTCATAACACTTGGATGAGACTTGAGGGTAAAAGTTTCCTTTTCCTTAGGCAAAGAGTATGAAGCCTGAGAAGTTTGGATATTTAAGGCCACAGAACTTTACTCCAAGCCCTCTTCAACACTTCTCAAAGCCTAATTTGCGTACAAACCACCTGGAGGTCCTGGGAAATGCAAATTTTGATTCAGCACGCCTTGGATGGAGCCCGAGATTTTGCACTCCTAACAAGCTTCCAGGTTACTTGGCAGCTCCCTGGCCCCACTCTGATAAGAGATTAGACCAGTGACACAGGCTGGGTTAAGTGCTGGTCCACTTTCTCTGGGTGTACTAAGCAGTACATTTGGACTTTAACATAATGTTCAGCAAAGGAAAGAGATCTACCTTGAAAATATCCTGATGCTGTTCTCAGTCAAGAAGAAATGACGAATATTTGAGACGATTTTCAATTTCTGTGGCACCTTCCTGCACATAAGCCTTCAGTAATTAAGGCAGATTGTGTACGAGTAACCCAGGTTGGAGCTAGGTGGAAACATGCTTGGATACTCCCAGTGCTTATTTATCTTTATGATTTGGGCTTTGTCAGAAATCATAATGTCTCAACTCCAGATGCATTTGTGCCTTGGAATCTGCAGTTGCTCCTTAGTTGGTGCTCTTTATGTCAGGCAGAGCACATACTCTCGGCACCTTTGTGGTTTATCTGGTCCCCCAGAGCTCCGTGGTGCCAGGAGCTAAGTGCTCTTCCAGAGCTCTCTGTATAGCTGTGGAAGTCTCCTTCACCTAACCTATGGGCTTTAGTTTGGGAACCACACCACCTCCTAAGTGGTAGTCAGTGTGGTGTGGCCCTGCTGTAGGGAATTCCTTTGTGAAAAGAACAGGCTATCCCTTCCAGGGACTGGATCTTGTCTGCAGGGAATGGAGCCATTCTGGGTCTGAAGTCTGGTGTGGAGAAAGGTGTATCTGTGTGACATTTTCTTTGCCCCTGCTTGTGCCCTAGAAATGGGGCTGGGGTCAGAGGGCAGCTGACAACCCACAGGCACCTGCTCTAAACAGCCAATGTGGTTGTTTGACTGTTTCCTCATAACCAGATAGACTGGTGTAGTGAGCTGTCAGCTTTCTTCGTAAAGCACTTTTTTGTTTTCTTAATGACACTTATTATGAATGGTTCTCAAATATGAGCGTGAAGGACAAATACCACTGATGATATATTTCTAAACATATGAAGGCTACCTTGGGAGAGTTTGTTTCAAGGGCAGACTGAATTCTGGTGCTGAGCTAGGCTATTAACCAGAGGTTGCTAGAATTGGAAGTAATTGAGATGACTTATATCAGGGGTACATGACTTTACAAGACATGGTCTTACTTTAAAGATTATTCTGATGTGACAGGGCATTTGTTTTCACTTTATCACTCAACTAAAATGTTGTGCTCCTCCTGTGCATGTACTTTCATACTAGCCTCAGATGTGAGAGTAGATAAGAAAGAAATGGTACTTGTTCTTGAGGGTTCCATATCCCAACTCAGTAAGAAACAGAACTAAAAAAAAATTAACATGTCAAGAAAATATTCTAATTGGTGCTGAGTCATCAATCCCAGAGTATTTGACTCCCATGGCAAAAGAAAACTTCAGAGGAGGTGAATTTTAAGCTAGATTTTGAAGGATGGGTAGTATCATCATGTAGGTAAAAGAGCAAAAACATTTAAAAACACAGGGCATCTGAAAAAATGAAAGTAGTATCTGTGGGCTAGAACACGTCTATGGGGGAAAGCTGTCGGGGGACAAGGCTGGAAAGGTAAGTTTGGCCATGTTGTGAAGTGTCCTAAAAATCAAAGCTAAAGAGTTTTTATCGCAATGGCAGTGGGAAGTCATTAAAATCTAGTAAATCTTCAGATTTTGTCTTCTTGGAACACCTTGGGGTTTCATGAGATTAGTATTTAATATTGGAAAATAAAAGGAGGCATTCCTAAAGAATTGTCATTCCTTGGCACTCAACATCCTAAAGAGCCAGTTTGGTCATCCCAAGACCAGTTTTCTAATCCTTGCTCTGCTAATGGTTCATTCATGATGGAAGATAACTTCTCTAGGCTCTAATTTCCTCAAGGGTAAAATAAAGGGGCTAAACAAGATCAGTTTAAAGTGCCTTCTAGCTGTAAAATCGATTACTCTCATTCTTCTGTTTGACTTCCTCAGTGAGAAAAGAAAAACCTGTTAACCCATTAAATGATACTGAAATCAGTTTTAACTTTTAAATTTGCAGATTTGTTCTGTTTGCATCCCAAAGTAGAAATTTTCACATTAAAGCCACACATGGTTTATTCATTGAACCTTTGTTATGAGAAGTATCTATGGAGGGCACATGACTACTGGACTACCAAATAATTATCCTCAACATCACAGATGAAAAAATTTTAAAAGTACAGCACAAAACTTTTAAAAAATATGCTCTTGAATGTTACAGTGGGTAACATTACTGATTTGGCCTTTTAATTTTTGTTCTGTACAGGAAATGCTAACAGTAAATTTGTCACTTAAAATTCATTTTCAAAACAAATTGCACCCATAAAAGAGCAAGTTTTTGGGGGAAAACAAAATTTCAGAGCTTTTATAAAAGCAGAAGTGGAGAACTCTGAAAACAGAAGTGTTCTGTGTGGACGGTTTGCAATTATGCCTAGTTTCTATAGGGTACCGTCAGTCAGGAAACTTAATTCTAGCTTCTGCTCCCCCTCAACTAGCTGAGAGCAGACATCACTTATCTGGTTTTACTTCACTTTGAAAGATCACTCTTATGGTCATTACCGTTTTATTGTCCTCCCCCACCAATTACTGCACTGATACTTGAGTGCTGCAACTCTTTTCACAGCTCTAACTCCTCATCTGGAACATATTTATTGAATACATGAGTTCACCTGTAAATTGTGGCAGTTGGGCTGAATTTCCCATGTCCTTCCTACCTTTATGTGATTCTGTGGTATGTATGAATTTACCTTGCATGATCTAAGCCCAGACAGTTTAATTTTCCCCTTCAGCTTATTTTTTATTCTTTTATTGCTCACTAGTACTTTAGTACATTTTTGTCCTAATTCAACTTGAAGATAAAGCAGTACAAGCAGCTAGAGTGGGACTAAGTTTAGATAGGAAAGGATTCTATTACGGAGTGAGAAGAATTTGCTGTTGAACCTGAGTCCTACCTCTTAAAGTTATGGTTTGCATCTAAAGCACGTAAATAAAACAACTAAAAAGGTAGGTAAAGGCAAAACAAACCAGAATGGTTTCTAAATGGAAAACATGTTTTAAATTTCAGATACTAAAGCACAAAATTTTGATGACTGAAGAGCATAACCCAGCGTTACATGGTAGTTCTTTGTGCCAACAAAACTCTGGTAACCTCAGTGTGAAGAGCCAGAGCCTTGCAGTTGAGTTTTACTTTTTAAGTAAGTCAAAGACCATTACAACCCACTGTTACAATGAATCTTTACTTATTTTGGTAGGTCACTCAATAATTTTGAGCAACATTATACACAAACCAACAAAGTGAAATCACTGACAACTCCTTGAAATGTTATAGCTAAATTCAGAGTGACTGGATAATGCTGACAAACCCCAGTAAAGTGTTTATTTGCTTACTGTGCTCAAGATTCTAATCTTCTAACGTCATGTATGACGTAAAAACTGGGAAACGGAGACTAAAAGAACTCCTTTTTTCTTGAACCACACTCAGAAAATAATGAGATGAGGGTAAATCCTAGGTGACGTATTTAATTCATTGTGCTTTTTATGTTTTTCTTGCTACTCATTTCCAGTTATAAACCTTGTAACTGTATCTCTGGGTACTTTTTCTTTTAACTCAAACACAACAAAATACTAGGCATTCTTTAAAACCATTTTCTATTAACTTTCAAAAGTACACTCAGATAAGAACTCTGTAAAATCATTTTCTTTTAGAAGGCATCAAACATTCAGGGAACTTTATTTTTAAAGAACAAATCAAGTAAAAGACATAACTTTCATTGACCCAAACATGCATAATCCATCCTTAATATAAAATGTGCTCAATTGGTAAATTACACATGAATTACAAAGGGAATGCAACTTTACATATGTAAAGCAATTGCTAGCTATAGTAACTTAACAGTCAAATTAAGACTTGCACATTAAAAAAAAAATCTTAAAGCCAGTTATCTATAGTAAACCAAAGGAAATTCTGACATGGAATGGTTTGACTCAAAGAAAATAAGGCACCAGCTATGAATTTAAACAATAACTTCCATTTTAAAAGTTACAATAAAATAGAATTAGCCAAGACACTTGTTTCAGAGGGAAACAAGTACAAGGGGTTGATATATACCGGGTGAGAAAAGCAGGTAACAATGCAGATAAAATCTTGGCGGCCCAAGGTTAGTTGTTTCCTTTCCTCTTCCATAGCTGTCAGGTTCCCAAACGTCCTTAACTACTCCTCCCCTTCACTTTCGTACTTAGGGGTATCAAAAGCGCTGAGGTTCACACTCTGTATCGCCTAGGTAAGACTTCCCTTCCGTTCCTCTGAGTACAGCTTCTTTTGAGATATCCTGAGGCAACTAACAGAGAAAACAAACAGCTTTCTTTCTAATTCATTAATATTAAACACCTCTTAGGCTTTTTTCAAGTTATGGCTAAGTACTTAAGTAGCTGATGCTTCCACTTTTCAACAGTACCAGAAGACCCAAAACCTGCCTTATTACTCACCCTTACCATTAATAAAGCTTGATCAATCATAACCTATAAAATCAAACAAAGGGAAGACTATAAAGACTGATCCTTATCAGTAAATCCATTTAATTCCAGACCACTTAAATCTGATGTACCTAGTACTCTAACAGAAGTCTAATCATAACTAGACAATTATTTCCAAACTAAGTATAACCTTTTTAATCGATGTGACTTTTTGATATTAAAAGTGCTACTAACATGCTACGATGTCTTATGGCACATTGGACTCAACAATATGTCCTGATGAGACATCAATTTTTAGTAATATTTTCCCCTAACATGTTGTCTAGCATAGACCATTTTGATATATTAAAGTAATTCTGGTTAAATCAATGGTGACATAAACAAACCTTCCCTGACTTTACTCCACCACGGTAGCTTTTAGTGAAGCTGAAGTGACTTAAGTTACAAAATGCTCAACCACGTTTTCTGTGGCATCTTAGGTTAGTATATATTCACTCATGCAAAATCCAAGGTAGTGTAATAGAAATAATAGTTAAAAAAGACATGGTGGCTATAAGAATCTGTTTATATGAGGCATTTAGAAGCTTTTAAAAAAATTTTTAGGTGCTAGAGATTGTGGGAAAAATAGGCTAATTCTGTAGCCATTTCATTTATGAGTACTTTATTACAGGACAGTTACATGACCCTATATGGGAGTGTGCTTTTCATCTGAGATATTTTAATAAAGTGCCTAGCTATAAAAAAAACCATAAAGATTCCAAATTTTAAATTAAGCTAATTGCATTTACATATTAGGATTAATACTAGACCTTGCCCACACAGATTTAATCTAATTACACCATATACTGTTTCAATGACCACATTTAAAAAAAAATACTCTTTACTGACTAAATAAGTAGGGTCTACTACTGTAGCTTAACAATCAAACTTTATTGCTTTATTCATGTGGTGCTTTTGCAAGGCACTGTGGTATGGACTAGAAAACTTGGAATGACTTGTGAAGAAACCTTGGAATGACACATGAAGGATGATATGAAAAGTCATTCTGAGGCAGGATGCTTTACTGAATTGTTTTTAACCAGGGTTATCAAACATCAGGAATGAGTTCAAGTTAAAATTCACAGGTGAATGGAAACATCTTAAGGTCAGTCACTTCACATGCCCATCCTGATACTTTGAATAATCTGGAAAATTGCTGTAAAGAGAAATAGCAAATATTAAAATATGCTTTGAATAACATAGGTCTGGCATCTGACAAGTATGTATTGGTAGCTCAAGAATCCAACAGTACCCTTACAATCACTTACAAATGCTATGTAACCTCATTGTAGTAAGAAGTGAAGACAGGCCTACCTTAATAAAACAAATGTCTGTAAGTTATTTTTTTAAATCTCAGCTTCTCTAAATCTTTTATCTTAATGCCCAGTTTGCAAATAAACAATCATTTTAGAAAAGGTCTTGAGCACCAAACAGGTTTTTCTAGCATAGAATTATTTTGGCTTATCCCCTAAATATTAAGTGTCCTTTCAAGGCCTGTCCTATCATATAGACATATTTCCTTATTTTCACAAAGCTGAAATTCAATAATCTTTAGGTTATATAAATTGCTTGGCTCTTGGCCATTTATCAAGAAAGCTACCAATTTTAAGTTTAGGAGACAGGCAAAGTGAAATGTTTGAAAAAAAACCTCAGTAACTTTGTCAGAATGTAGAGAACAGAAATACGTCCTTTACTATCAACATTTTGCATATTAACATAATAAATGAAGAGAAAACAAGACATTCTGTAATCCATCTGTAGAAGTAAGGGTCTGTTACTCTAACAGCAGGCTGCCCTGATAACAAATTTTTCCAACCATATGTCAAACGTTTATTTAATAATCTAAAAACAACTGTCTCACACATTAGGTTGGCAATCAGGTATGTTTCCTCCATAGTGAATTGATTCTTTGCACTAGCTTTACTTCGTAAAATATGCCCAATTTGACATAAAGACATTAGATTATGGAATATGTTAAATTCGAACACCAGTAAGTGTACAGGATACTCATAAGCTTTTTTGCAAAGGTATTGATAATGGGGTTGCAAGACATTCTAAATTCTTTTTTGGCCAGATTTTCTTCTAACTTGACCATTATTAAGGACCTGACCTCTTTTTCTTATCTCCTGTGCACAAATCAAGCTGGGCGAAGTTTCTGGAGCACCACCCTCTGTGCGAATGTGGGACAAATAATTTGCTTCCGATGAAATAGAACCATGCGGAGCTACCAGCAGGTGAGTTGAGAACTACGTGGGTAGGATTCACCACTTACGGTCACCACGTCATCCCACTCTACCCGATGGTAACCCCCAAACACTTACCAGAACCACAGACAACAAAAATGAAGAGAGCCAATAACCAGGGTCCTACAGACGCCTTCTCTTCGGGGGCATTTCTCTGCAAAAAGGAAAATTTACCGTTTCAAGAGCAAACACCCTCTCCGACCCCGGCCCCTCACAGCCTGCACACCCCAGGCCGCCGGGTCACCTCACCTCACAGCTAGCTCCTCTCAGTTTCCGAGCGGCCAAGCTCCGGCACCCACCGCCCCCGGCCCCGCCACTCGGCATGCCGGTCGCAGCCTCGGGCTCCCCCAGTCCACCTGGTTTGGGAAGACGCGGCCGTAGGGCACGGGCCTCGGCCCCGGCTGGGAAACGTGGGGGTCGCTTGCTCTCCTTACCGAGGTCTTGGCGACGTTGCCGCGCTGGGTGATGTTTTTGCTGTGCTTCTCGTTGGCCATACGAATTCGCTGCTTGGCGACCATCTTCGCGGCGCCACCACCTGCCCCAGCCACCCCTCGGACTCGCTCGCCGGCCTCCCCTCAGGCCGTTGCGACGCTCCGCTCCCGGTGCCGAGCCGCCGGAGCGAGGATCAGGTGGGGCGCTAGCTCCGGCCGCTGGGCCTGGGCGCGGCAAGTGCGGGGCTGAACGCTAGCGGGGCGCGGGCCGCCGACTGACTGACGCCGCCGGACCGACCGGCCGAGTGAAACGGGCGCGCGATAGGAGCACAGCGGGCTGCCGGAATATTCTCGTGCCGCCGCCGCTCTGGCAGCCGCCGGGAGCGTGGAGTAAAAGAGGAAGGAAACGCAACCGAACAACCGGACCGTGCAGCCCGTCGCCTCGACTATTCGGGGTTCGACTGCCAACGTCAGCACTGGGCGGACTCCGCCCCGCGCAAGTGTAAGCTCCGCCTGCCGAGGCAGCACAGGGAACGCGAAGGCGGGCGCACGAGACTTAGCCCAGCGCCACCACGCTCTGTATAGTATAGCCCCAGAGCTACGCGTGCGCGCTCGGTCTCCTTTCCTCAGCTCTCTCTCACCGGAAATGAATTGGCCCCGAGGCAGGTGTCCCGGAAACACCCATTCGCCGTCTCCACGCCTGAGTAGACGTGTAGGGGCCGGGTTTGATCCTCGTGAACTCTGACCCAAGCACATGGGTTTCTTTTTCCGGGCCAAGATGGCGCCGTCCGCGCCGCTTCTGACGGGTGAGTCCTGAACCGGCAAGAAACTGTTTTTCAAGAGCGATTTTCTATTGTGTGTATGCCTTTGGGGACTACCCGAGAAGCTCTGGGGTCTGATCAGCTGTTTCGTGTGGACTTGGGAGAGCCAGAGGGCGTTTTGTGTTTTTGGCGTTGGCGTGGCAATCGGAAGTGAGGCCCCCGCCTCTTGGCTGCAGCATTCCCCTTCCCTTTGGCCCATCCATCATTCTTCCCTGTCGCTTCAAGTTCTACAGGCATAGAGGAAGGGGGATAAGAACAGAAAGTGCTAGTTGAATTTGTTACCCTGGGTCTGCAGTATTGGTGTTACATGAATCCTTATGTGATGATAGACCTTGTTTGTAGTGTGAAGTCATCTAGGTCCATAATAAAGCAAAAATATAAACACATGACTCAGTCCACTGGAATAACGACACACATTAAATAAGTACACCTGAATTTAAGTATACCAAATTCTGTATCCATTGCTTTAATGAAATTTGTAGCAATAAATGGAGAAAGTGCAGATGTGGTAGTGTAGTGTAAGTTTCAAATGTTTAAAGGGTTCTGGGGTGGTAGCTGTGAACATTATAGAGATAGTCTAGCAACGTTTGTTGAAATGGTAATGAGCACTTCAGAATTAGAACATTAGAGGTTTCCTGAGATTTTGAAGCTGAGGCAAAGTTTATAATGCTGGAGAAGATAATAAACTTAGTGTTGCACTATGTTGGGAAAGCTTCTGGACTCGGTTAATGGCTGGGAGTCTCATATAAGGGTATTAAGTAAGGAATAGGGAGTTGGGAAGGAAAAAAATTGGCTTTGAGAAAGTCATCGTTAACTTAGTAACTTACATAGAAGGAAAAAGAAGTCAATAGAAAAGTTGTCTACTTTGAGGAATGGAGTTATTTCTCCTGAGGTTTGAAAGAAACCTTGAAAAGCTGTTGCGCTTTTTGCCGTCGTACATTTTAAGATCGTTGTTATTGAGCACCGTGCCCACTCATACCCAGTCTGGCTACCACACTTTATTTCATTCATCAAACATTTATCAAGTACCAACTAATTTGTTAGATAATATGCCAGGTAGATACTGTTCAAAAGGCATAATTACATAATTAAATGATTTTTTTCCTTTAGCTTCATAAAGGTAGCTCGTATATTATTTGTAATTTTGGAATACCAAATGTTTATTAGAACTCTGATAAAATTACTACATTTCAAAATCTGATAAATTTTCTCCCCTTTTAAAATTTACCCGAAGAAAACAAAATCTCTGATTTGAAATGATATATGCACCCCTATGTTTATTGCCACATTGTTTACGATTGCCAAGATATGGAAGCAACCTAAGTGTCCATCAATAGAAGAACGGACAAAGAAGATGTACTACATATACACAGTGGAATATTATTCAGCCATTAAAAAAATCCTGCCATTTGTGACAACATGGTTGGATCTAGAGGGTATTATGCTTAGTAAAATAAGCCAGGTGGAGAAAGACAAAATACCATATGATTTCACTTATTTGTGGAATCTAAAGACAAAGCAAAACAGCAGTAGACTCATAGACACAGAGAAGTGACTACTGGTTACCATGGGGTAGGGTTTGGGGTGGGTGGGTAACTCCTCACTTGCTTACAGGGTAAATTTCACCCTGTTTAGCATAGCATTTATAATCTCTTTGACTAGTTTTAACATTCATTTATTTATTTGCCATCTATCCTATTTTGCACTCCCATCAATACTGAACTGCTTATAAACCCTTGAACAAACTATTTCTTCAGTCTAGGGCTATCCTGTTCCTTTTAATTTGACTAACTGTTCATCTTTTAAAATTCATTTCAGACATCATTACTTTGTGAAGCCTTTTCTTACTCTTCCCAGATAGTCAATTCCCCAGGCTATTTCTGTACCTCATATATACTTGAATTTTTTTCACTTATCACATAGGATAATTATCTAGTTGTTTAAATGCTTTTCATCCCTGTAGTCTGAACTCCTTAATAGCAGAGGCAGAGTCACTCATCCCTATTTTCTCAGTGCCAAGTACAATGCTTGGTAAACAGTAGACACTAACTTTGTAAAGGAGGAATAAACTAATGAAGGGTGTCCACTTCATTTATAGTAAAATTAACCAAGACAGACAATTTTCTTATGATGCTTAAAATCAAGGACTTTGTAAGAGCTTAGAGGTTTTCTTCTCTACTCCTTGTATTCTCACATTCATAAAGGCCCAGGGAGACTAAGTGGTCAGATTCATGTTGCAAATTGGCAGAGTCAGGATTATATTCATTCATTTAACTCTGTGGCCCATTTTTCTTTCAGTAAATGGTTAATTTTTTAAACTGATTAATCTTTTAAACATTCTTGGCATAGGTATTTTAATCAACAATAGATTCAGTTATTTCTAAAATATTTTTTTTAACTTAGACTCATGGAATTTGGGAGTTGAAATAATTTGGAGACATCCAGTAAATTTTTTTTTTTATTAAAGTGTCATTGATATACAATCTTACATTGGTTTCAAATATACAACACAGTGGTTTAACAGTTATCCATATTATTAAATCCTCACCCCCACTAGCACAGTTACTATCTGTCAACATAGATGTTACAGAATCATTGGCTATATTCTCCATGTTGTACTACTCTCCCCATGACTAACTTATATAATGGATTGAGGATTTTTGTGCTTCTTTACCCACTCACCCTTCCTACCCCATGGTAACCAGTAGTCACTTCTCTGTGTCTATGAGTCTACTGCTGTTTTGTTCATTCTGTTTTGCTTTGTTTTTAGATTCCACAAATAAGTGAAATCATGGTGTTTGTCTTTCTTCACCTGGCTTATTTCACTGAGCATAATACCCTCTAGATCCAACCATGTTGTTACAAATGGCAGGATTTTTTCAATTGCTGAATAATATTCAGTTGTGTATATGTACCACATCTTCTTTATCCATTCATCTATATATGATCTATTGATGGCAGTAAACCTAGGGGTGCATAATATATCTTTTTAAATCAGGGATTTTGTTTTCTTCAGGTAAATTCCTAGAAGTGTAATTACTGGATCAAATGTTACTTTTTTTATTTTTTTGAGGAACCTCCATCCTGCTTTCCACAGTGATTTTACCAATTTACATTCCCACCAGCAGTGTAGAAGTGTTCTTGTTTCTGCATATCCTCGCCAACACTTGTTATTTCTTTTCTTTTGAATATCCAATAAATTTTATTACTCATAACTTTTAATTGTAAACAACAAAAAGCCAAAGCAGGTGAAAAAGGAATTTTCTTAGAACTCATGTAACTTTAAAGCTTCAATACTGCTACATCCAGGTACTCACATGACTCCCAAATGTTTTTCATCATCCCTAGGCTTTTGCTTTCTTCTCATTTAAATTCATCCAGGCTAACATTCTACATGAGAATTCCAGGTTTATATCAGCCACAGAGAAAAGAGCATGTTTTTGTCTCAAAGCTGCTGTTGTGGGCTTGGCTCTTGCTCGTCCTGAATTAGTCAATTTTTAGTTAGATCACCAGGACCAAATTATACTCTCACACCCAAGGGATATTAGTCTCCAAACAAAGTGGGCCTGGGTGCCAGGCATGTAAAATACAGCGGCCCTTACATAAAACCCATATTGCTTAATCAGCTTATCTAGTTGAGACCACTGAGATTATTCAAAATTGAATCATTTTCCTCAATTGATAATGTACTTCAGTGGAAAAAAGTATCTTAATGATTACTATGTACTAGGCATAGGACCCTTGGTTGTAAGCCCAGTAGTTTTCTCATAATAACTCAGACCTAAAGCATTAAATGATATATGCATACCTAGAAGGGCTAGTAAGTTTTAAAAGATGGTTAGGCACAATATTTAATGTAATTACTTTTTCTAAACAGTTATTCTTTTGGAAACTCCATTAATTTTTTTGCTTTAATGAAAAGACCTGTTTGCATTCTAGATTTTTCTTTCTAGTAGATGGTATTTCTAGATCTCCTGTAATCAAAGGAGAGAATCATTAAAAACAAGGAACCATCAAGTCTGAATACTTGATAATATTATCTCCACATTCTATTTCACTGTTTCATATTCAGTCACTTCTAATTAAATTGATTCCTCATTGGAAGGTCTTATGTAGAAAAAATTGTTTCCATTACTGAAAAGAGTTTGTTTTGAGTCTATATTATTTTTGCTTTTTATTGTAGTACAGTGTAATATAATGGTCCTGATTTTGTGCTTCTAGTAAACTGTTTATCCATTTACTCAGATTTGTATAAGAAGTTGCTGAAACTGATTAACTTCAGTAAAGTATCTTAGTGGTCCCAGAATGTCTTAATGGCACTTTCTCATAGTTTTGCTCCTATGTAGGAAGGTGTGAAATAACATATTTCTTTTAAAAAGTCATTTGTATGTATAAACAAAACTGTAATGACTCAATATAATTTTATAATGAATTCAATTGATAATTAATTTCCCTAAAATAGACATACCTATAAAAATACATCATATACAGAGGAGGTTGTCTGATTTAACGGGGTCCAACAGTATCATCAGTCTTTAAAGTTGCTTGATGTGTACTTTTTGTCTCATGGAATATGTTTTTACCATAGTACAAAAATCTTGGTCTATACAATTTTTTTATTTTAATTTGACACTTTTGTACAGTGTTAAGTAATTCTTGAGAAGTGTTGAAAAACTTAATTGTTTTCATTTCTTGCCATGTTGTGAACAAAGCATTACCAAAAATGATGGGCTTTTTTTTTTTTTTTT